AACAAATAAACAAAAACCCACAAAACTTAAAGAACCAGGGTGGGAGAGGATGGCTTACATGGCTTTTGTTCTACAAGTTTGAGGATCTGAGTTCTATCCTCAAAACTCACTGGGCATGGAATGCACTTGAAATGCCAGCCCTGGCTAGACAAAGACTGGGGAACCCTATGCTTTCAAGGAGAGCCCATCTAGCCTAATCGGTGTGTTTCAAGTCAATGAGAAACTGTCCCCATTCCTAAAGTTGCCACTTGAAGTTGTTCTCTGTGCACACACAGAGAGACAGCCAATTTTTTAATTATGAAAGAATAACGTGGGAGAACTCACTACATTACTACATTCGAAAAAGTTGGTATTTTACTACAGTCTTTCAAGTAAAGAACTCTACAAAATTAGCTGGGCATGGTGGTAAAAGCCTTTAATCCCCGCACTCAGGAGGATCACTGTGCATTCCAGGCCAGCCTGGTCTACAAAGGAAGTTCCAGGACAATCAGAGCTGTTACACAGAAAAATCTTGCCTTAAAAAAAAAAAAATTCAATGCCGGGCGATGGTGGCGCAAGCCTTTAATCCCAGCACTCGGGAGGCAGAGGCAGGCGGATCTCTGTGAGTTCGAGACCAGCCTGGTCTACAGAGCTAGTGCCAGGACAGGTTCCAAAGCCACAGAGAAACCCTGTCTCGAAAAAAAAAAAAAAATCAAATCTATGAGATTAAAATTTTGAAATAAAATATGTAAATACCCACAACTTGATCAAAGAAGTATATTATGCTATCATAATTCATGTAGTCTCAACTTTTGAGAAAAAAATACATTAAATCTTTAAGTTACCAGGATTACCATAACTTTCTTTTCAAGAATGGGTATTTGTAGACGTTTCCCAAAAACTCTAAGGGAATATACAATTTATAAAATGTTAGAATGTGTTACGAAGTTTTATCTGATACATCCTATTCCTGTGGGATGAAAACCATTTACAAGTTCCATTTAGAATAAGAAATCCTTTGGGAAATGTATGTAGTACATTCTAGTTATTCTGTTTCTAGAACAGCAAAAACCTCTATAACCTATTTCCCTACTGTTTTTGTTTCAAAACCAACTTAGTTCACTATAACTTCCTTGCCAAAAAGTCAAGGAAATATTAGAGGTAGTGACAGAACTCTTTAAATTTTCAGCAGAGATTGAGGCTTTTGCAAATTTAACTTATCTCACACATTCTACAAAAACAGTATTACTTACAGTCATATTTTTTAAATAATCATTAAAATGAAGAGTGTATCTTCATTTTAAAACAAGGAGTAGGGAGGGAAAAAAGAAAAGCTTCTAAAACCAAACTGCTTTTTCATTCTCTTAAGATAAATCCTTTTTACAATAAAACTCCCTAAAAACTACTGTCTAGCATTCAGGAGGCTCCATGTTCCAGCCTACTACCACAAAAATAAATGTAAAACTCCCCTAATGCTAACTCATCCTTCGGCAACACCTTCTATCTTTTTACTGAGTTATCAGGACTGGTTATATGGTAGCTTACACCTGTAATTCCAGCCTAAAGAAGCTGGAGCAGGAGTGGTCCTGTGTTTCAAGGCAGCTTATGCTACACAGTCCAGGATAGTCTGAGCTACAGAATTAAGACCTAGTTTCAGAACAAAACCAAAGTAATGGGTTGCAAGTTATCTCTAGCATTTCCATTTAAATGAAGTTGACAAGTGTCACAAAACAATTTTATTTTATACTTTGCTGTTTGACTGTGTCTCTCACCATAATCAAATTAAAGGTTTGTCTATGCAACTTTCTGGGAAATTATATGGTAAGTCAACTTCAAGTAACTCATGTTAAAAATTTTACACAAACACTTCACTTGCAGACTTCAATTATTTAACTTGGCAGAAAGAATTCCAAATTATCAAAGGAAATCATTAAGTATGAAGCTGCCATGTTGAAAATGTTACAAATCTACACAAAAACATTTATAAAATTCGGTTTACTTCCTATCAATGTGCCAAAGAACTTTTACATCTTCTCTAGACATTCTAAAGATTCCAATAAATTCACTTTTATTTCAAAAGGCTAGAAGTAAGAATTTAATGACCCCAGAGGAGAAAAAAACAACAAGATATTTAGTGAGCCAAATACTTTTACAAAAGAGAAGATGTATTAAAAACTCAATCACTCCTTCTATCAGACAAAGAGTCCTCTCCTTAGAACATACTGCTTACATTCAGCCAAGTATGACTGCCAAGAGTATCTAGACAAGATTGTTCAAAGTGGCAAGCTTTCTACCAGCATCTATTTTTTACTTGGAGTTGAAGACAAGGTATTGATAAACTAAATGAGAAGTTATTTCTTTAAAAAGAAAAAAACCTTCAAGGAAAGACAAGTTCTGCAATATAAATTGCTTCCAAGTCTCAGAAAAATAGAGATTTATTCAGTGTTGCCAAATAAGGGCTTAGGTAGCTAAAAGGGAAAAAAAAGGAGTATTACCCGGACTTGGGAGGGCACACCTAGCACTCAGAAAGCAAAGACAGGCAGATCTCTACAAGTTCAAGGCCAGCCTGATCTACGGTGCTTGTTCCAGGCCAGTCAGAGCTACATAAAAACCCTGATTCAAAAAAAAAAAGAAAAAGAAGCCAGGCAGTGATGGCACTAGCCTGTAATCTCAGCACTTGCCTGTAATCCCGGCACTCGCCTATAATCCCAGCACTCAGGAGGTAGAGGCTGATCTCTGTGAGTTTGAGGCCAGCCTGGTCTACAAGAGCTAATGCCAGAGCAGGTTCCAAAGCTACACAGAGAAACCCTGTCTCGGAAAAAGAAAAAGAAAAGAAAAGGAAAACGAAAAACAGAAAGAAGCAAAGCAAGCTTTATGAGCAGCTTTTCTAACCATTGTTTACATTTTTTAAAGACTTTTTCACAGTAACAGAATGTAACACCAAATGCAAGAATACTCAAAATTTTATAGGTAAAATATGTGAAACTTACAATAACCCAGAAATATGCAAACGTGTCTAGAGGAACCACATTTGTATTTACATGTAAAGCATTACTGGTTTTTCCAATAAGCGACAAACTGCATGAGACTGTTACTGTGACTTTACTTTCACATACTATGTGTGTGTATACATACAAAACAAAATAAAACAAAGCAAAACATATATACTGCAAAACAAACATTGTCTTTCATGACAGGGTTTCTCTGTGTAGCCCTGTCCTGGAACTTGCTCTGTAGACCAAGCTGGTCTTGAACTCATCGAGATTCCCGTCTCTGCCTCCCAGGTGTGGGATTAAAGGTGTGTGCCACCACCACCTAGCTACATATTTAGTAAGAACACAATATGTTATGTTCAAACATGACATGTGTGTATATGACCTACATAATCCTATTTGTCTTTCTGGTAATTCTTCTTTCACTGTGATGTATTATAGCAAAGGCTCTGGCTTCTCTATACAAACTAAACATCTCAATTCTGCGTTCACTAAACTATGGACTATAAGTCACCCTCACTCTTGCAGTTCTTGTTCTTACTATAGGAGATAACAGCTAAGTGCTACTGTATGTGCACAGCTTTATGACTTTTCTTCTATGGAGAAAAAATAAGGAATTTAAGTTTACCCCCAAAAATATCAACTTCTTGCTTGCATACAAACTCAATGTATTTTTCCATACAACTTAAGACAGATAACGCCTATCCTAGAAATGTCAAAAGAGGGAACTTCCCAGATCAAGAGAAAAAAACAACTCAATTTACACTTAGCCAGAAAGGAAATCTCCACCCAAATCACAAATAGATGTTATCAATTAACCTAAACATCAATATAACGTAGGTAATAACCTATTCTCAAAAGGAATCCGCTACCCGCATATAATCAAAATACCATTTGTATTTGCATGCAGTGTTCGGAGGAATTCTGTGTGTGTGTGCCAGACTCATCTTGTTTTGAAATGCTAAGCTGTTCTTTACGGGTATAATCAGCGTCCACATCAAGTGTCCTGAGGAAAGGCAATTCAGGAGAAGGCTGGGTGGCATGGAGAAGGCCGAAAATGAAAAGAAGGGAAAAAAACCATGGGCCAACAGAGCGAAGGAGCAGCAGAAAGATCGCACAATGCAAAACATTTCTCTGAGTAGCCTGCAGAAAGATCTCTCTTAACCCTAACAGTATCCTACCTCACGTCATTCACTTCCCAACTTCCTTTACTTTTCAAAACAACAAGGGGCATCTCCCCTCTTCTGGAAGTGTGTGTGGAAAGGCTCTCTGTACAGGAGAGAGGGAAGGAATCGACTCTTCGCAAGAAGGTTGAGAAACAGGTGGGTTACACGGAGCACCGGAGCGGCAACACAATTTCGATACTCACGGGGTGGCTTTATATGACAGATGTGACTAAAAGGAGACGGCACGTCGGAATCAGCTCGGGTCTGGCAGACAGACTGGGGGCTGACTGCACGCACTAGAGGGGGGGCAGAGGCTAGATCCAGGGCGACATCAGTGGAGAGAGGGGCCAAAAAAAGGGGGGGAAGAGAGAAAAGAAAAAGAAAAACCCCAAGCACCAAGCAGGACGGGTGGGCAATAGGCAGAAGCACCGGTCAGAGTAGAAGGATGGTTCTGGCTTGAGAGATCAGGGCCAGTTGGAAAGGACGTCAGAGGGGAAAGGGGGCTGGGGAACCAAGGAGGACCGAGACCTAAGGACACTGTTGCCAAAAAAATGCGGGAATAGCTGGCGATGAGAAGCCCTCTCGGCTCCTCAATTGAAGAAATTCTCGAAGGAGAGCCGGCGCCCGCCGCCGCGCTGCCTCCAGTCCGGCTGCCTTTTCCTGGTGGTAACTGCTGTGGCGTAGAGGGGAGAGGGAGGAAGAGGAGGAGGAGGAGGAGGCAGCCGGAGCAGGAGGAGGGTGAAGGCGAGGCGGGGGGTGGGGAGAAAGGGGGGTGCGGCCTGCACAGTCCCAGCGAAGCCTCCGCTCTCTCGTAGCCGGTCAGCCCCGGGTTTCCCCTAAGCCCAGCCCCGCAGACACTCACCCGCCTGTCTTGCCTCGCTTTTCCCTCAGCCGACTCCACGCGCTGCCGCGTCCTCACAGGAGACCAGTGAACCAGAGTCGGCGAAAAAAACTCTTCAGAACCGGGCCTGACTGCTTCAGTGAGTCCGACCTTTACGGCTAAGAGAGAGAGAGAGACTCTCAGCTTTCGGTGGGTTCCACAGCTAGACGGGCCACCATCTTACATTAGGGTAAGACTCCTCCGGTCTCCGGTGCGCAGGCGCATGCCGATCCGGCTGGGAGGGGCGGGGGAGGGGCGGGTCTAGCGGCAGGCGACCGAGTGGGAGGTTGCGGAGGACTACTCCGCTGCACCCTGGGAGTTGTAGTCCTCGGTGAGCAAGCGCCCCGGGGCAGGCCGGGAATTGAAGTCATCCGTGGAGAGGGCGCTCGGGAGCTCGTACCTCACGTGGCTCCTGGAGCGCCGGCTTTCTTCTTGTTTTGCTTCCTCCTCTGCCGGCGTGTGTGGCTAGTGTGTCATGTGGTCGGCGGTTTTCATTAATGTTTGCTGAAATGTAGGAAACCAAAGCTCTACGAAACTTAACTGATTTGGAGGGAGTAGGGACGTGTCTTATCTGCCCCGCCCTCCATAGTTAGGTATCCTACGGGGGCGTAGTGGAGGTAGAATCAGGTTGAGGATTGCAAGAGCGCGGGATTTGATCCTAGAGTGAGGACTTGGTACTGTTTGGAAAAGTGAGCGTTCGTTTCCCGGTCTTTGCGCCTCCTGCCACCAGCAGGGTTGATCTCATCCTCACGGCAAAATCGCCGGTGAAGAAATATCCTGAATTGCCAGATGCCTATTTCCCAAGAGAATTCGTGCCGTCGGAGCAGCGTGTGTTGCTGATGCGGATGCAGAACAGTATGCGGACTTTACTGCACACTCCTGTGGGCTGCGAGTCCAGCCTGCACAGCTGTGTGCGTCAGGTTCGCAAACTGCACAAATAAACACGTCCAAAGAATGTAAACCGACCGCAGCCGGTTCCAGCCCCAAGAAATCCTAAATAGCAAAATCGGTCAATGTACAGCGCTTACCTGGTTGCCTCCTAGAACTCTGTTGTAGATGGCGCTCCCGGGGTGGTCGATTCTATTTATTGCCTGTATATTCTTCACCCATTCGTGCAAATACTGAGCTCCTCCTTAGTACCCAGCCCTGTGCCATATGCTGGGAACATACAACAGTGAGCAAAGCACAGATCTCCAGTTCCCATTCCAGCGTGTGTACACGTGCTGGGGTTTGGAGAAGCGAAAAGGAAACGAATTTTCAAATCCAGGATGCGACTGTGAATATACCACAGTGGTAGCGCAGGGTCTGGCACACTTGAGGCCTGAAAGCAAAAGGCGGGAGGGAGGATTTAAAACAAAAAAGGGCAGAGTAAAGAAAGAAATTGAAGTTGTAAAATCGAAAACTTTTAGTGAGAAGCCCTCATTTCATTTTTATTTATTTATTTATTTATTTTTGGATTTTTTTGAGACAGGGTTTCTCTGTAGCTTTTTTGGTTCCTGTCCTGGAACTAACTCTTGTAGACCAGGCTGGCCTCGAACTCACAGAGATCCGCCTGCCTCTGCCTCCCGAGTGCTGGGATTAAAGGTGTGTGCCACCACTGCCCGGCTCCTCATTTCATTTTTTAAAATAATTTTTCTATGGTTCCATTTTCACTTAAGCTAGAGTTAATCGTTTTTGTAGGTTGGTTTTTGTTGTTGTTGTTTAGTTTTTGTTTGGTTTGGTTTGGTTTGGTTTGGTTTTTGGTTTTTCGAGACAAGGTTTCTCTGCAACAGTTCCAGCTGTCCTAGAACTCATGTAGACCAGGCTGACCTCGAACTCACAGAGATTCGCCTGCTGATGCCTCCCAAGTGCTGGGATTAAAGGTATGTGCCACTACTGCCCGGTTAGGGTCAATAATTTTAATGAAGAATTAGTAATAAATTCATACTTAACTGAATTTGAAGTTACAAAATCATATAAATTAATTAACTGAAAAGCTTGGAAAATCATTTGCATTCATCTTCAGATACTTAAATGTCTAAATATTCCATACAGGTGGCACATATATTTTTTAAATATGATCATTAGTGTATATATACTGTGTATTATATATATTATAATTCTTCACTAGATAAACAAAATAGTGAAACGAACAAATAAGTTTTTTTAATTTTATACAGTAGCTCCTTATGTAACTCAGGGTGGTCTTGAATTTGTAGTTCACACCTTTAAGCCCAGCATTCAGGAAGTAGACGCAGATGGATTTCTGTGCGTTCTAAGAATTCAAAGCCAGCCTGGTCTTACAGCATGTTCAAAGCCAGCCAGGATTATGTAGTGAGAGATACCTTTTCTCAAAAATAATTACCCAAAAAAAGGTTTTCAGTTAGTGTTGGGGAGAGATGAAAAACCAAAAAAAAAAAAAAAAAGTTACAAACAAATATATAGTAAAATTACCAATGTTCCCTTAAACATGATTGTTCTAAAAATATAACAAATTCATCATATGCAAGCATTTAGAACAAAATCCCCACGTATATGAAAGCTGTAAACACTAACAGGCGTGGTTGTGTTTTTGTTCTCCAATCTATCCTTAGTTACACCATGATAGTTTCCTAATGTTCTCCTTATTTGTTGGAACTAAAACCACAAACAACTCTGTGTTCATTTGGTTTTTGGTTTTTTTGTTTTTTTTTTTTTTCAAGATAGGGTTTCTCTGTAGCTTTGTAGCCTGTCCTGGCACTAGCTCTTGTAGACCAGCCTGGCCTCGAACTCACAGGGATTCACCTGCCTCTGCCTCCGAGTGTTGGGATTAAAGGCATGCGCCTCCACCGCCCAGCAACTTTGTGTTCATTTGTAAAAACAAGATAGACCTTAGATAATTGGATGTAAGTTGTGTTAAGATACTCATAAACAGGACTTAAAATCTGTGATGGGACATTTAAAAGTCATCAGGGACTTAAAATGGCTATTCACATGAAATTATAAGGAACAGTTTCCCCATTTTTGTAGGAAAACTAGTATGTGCCCTTAACTACTGAGCCAACTCTTCAACCCCAGGAATATGTTTCTATAAAATCACAGAAAAAAAAATTACAGGATTCATGCACATTGTTGCTGTGAAGAGACACCATGACCACAGCAACTGTTATAAAGAAAAACATGTAATTGAGGTGCGGCTTGCAGTTCAGAGGTTCAGTCCATATATCATGGTGGGGTACATGGTGGTATGCAGGCAGTCAAGGTGCAGGCTACATTTTGATCAGAAGGTAACAGGAAGTTGACTGAAACACTATGCCTATCATGAGCATAGGAAACCAAAAATCCACCCCCACAGTGACACACTTCCTATAACTAGGCCACGCACACTCCAACAAAGCCACGCCTCCTAATAATGCCACTCCCTATGTGTTTGGGGGGGAGGGCAATTACATTCAAATAGCCACCCACATCCAATATGTAATGTGTAGTTAGAGTCCTGAGAGAATTGTGACTGGAAGGGAAAGGAGAAGAAACATAACTTTCCTCAGAAATTGTTGCATTGATTTATGGTTATTTATATTAATCAGTTTTATACATTTTCAAAAATAGATCATTCTGCTATGTTGAGAATGAATTGGAGAAAGACAAGAATTAAATTGGAGCAACTAATTAAGAGAATATTTCAGTCATCCATATGGTTACTCTGATTGTGGTGACAAAAAAAAAAAGACATAAAAAGGTAATAAATTCAAGATACAATTTTGGAGATTGAAATAACAGAATTGATAAACTGGAAATGAAGGAGTGGTCGTGAATGAGTTAGATTTTTCTGGACTAAATGACCTTGTCAAATAGGACTCCTCAGATAGGAAGGAAGGAAGGGAAGGAGGGAGGGAGGAAGAAAATGATGATAATTGAAATAGCATGTGTGGAATGTAGGAAGACAAGTTCATGTGAAAAGAAAGCTGCAGGACTTCAGAAGAAGAGTGATTGCCCACGTGAATCTGGTAAGCTTATTTCTAAATTTTTATCTCTTGTGTACATGTATTCATGTTTGTGAGTGGTGGTGTGCACTTTTGTAAATTATTCACATACGGGTTATTTAAAATAAATCAGTATTTCAATCATATTCTTGGAATGTGGTTTCAGTTATGAACCTTACTACATGCAAAGAAATCATTGTTGATCGCCCATCACTCACAAGGTGCTGGATTTGGTCACTAGGACTGAAGGAAAAATCGGATTGCTTCAATATTAATAAATATTGATGTCACATTGTTTGTGGATCTTTATTTCCCCCAGACCCTTCTAACTGTGAGTTTTATTGACACATGCTAATTTTAGTCTCAATCATTTAGTGAGCGTGTGAGTTGAGTATAGGTTTAGCTATGCAAGCTTATTTTAGGATTTGAATGCAAAAAGACAGACAACAAACTAACCAGAAATTATTAACTTATTGTCAAAGCTTTAGAAATGGCGGTGGGGGTACATACCTTTAATCCTAGCACTAGGGAAGTGGAAACAGCAACATAAGGTGGGTGGCCAGAGGATCTGGCCCCCATTCAGTCTAAGGGTTCATAGATACAGGATCTCCCCCTTTCGGTCAGAGGATTTAGTAGAGGTAAGAAGTCTCTAGTGGTTGGCTGCTCTGTTTCTCTGATCTTTCAGCTTTCACCCTTGATATCTGACTCTGGGTATTTATTGGTTTTGCTTTTGGTTTTGGTTTTTGGTTTTTCGAGACAGAGTTTCTCTGTGGCTTGGAGCCTGTCCTGGAACTAGCTCTTGTAGACCAGGCTGGTCTTGAACTCACAGAGATCCGCCTGCCTCTGCCTCCCAAGTTTTGGGATGAAAGGCGTGTGCCACCACTGCCAGGCAGGGTGTTTATTGTTAAGACTAATTAGGATCACGCTTCATACAACTTCCTGTCAAGAATGAACGTCGAAGTTGGGTGGTGGTGGCGCATGCCTTTAATCCCAGCACTCGGGAGGCAGAGGCAGGCTGATCTCTGTGAGTTTGAGGCCAGCCTGGTCTACAGAGTGAGTTCGAGGACAAGCTCCAAAGCTACACAGAAAAGCCCTGTCTCGAAAAACAAACAAACAAGCAAAACATACCAAGATTTTTTTAAAATAATGTGTATTTGGGGAGGGTGTATATGCACACAAATATGGGTGCCCCCAGAGGTTAGAGGTGTGGAATCCCCCTGGAGCTGTAGTTACAGGCAGTTGTGAGCCG